GTAATCTCAAAATTTGTTTCACCATTGGGAACACCCTTGGCTCCTAATTGGGATTTTGGGTTTCGTAGGGGACTAAGGGATGATGAAATTGAATCTCTCTCTGACTTGCTATGTTGCCTTAATCAGGTTTGCTTGGATCCCTCCAAGCCAGATAAAAGGGTGTGGGCTCCTAGACCCAAAGGAACCTTTACTTGTGCTTCTTACTTCAAGTCCATCTCTCAACATTCTACTCAACAACCCTTTCCGTCAAAGGAAATTTGGTGTAGGCCAGTTCCCCCAAAGATTATGGCATTTTGTTGGGAAGTATTCTATGGGAAAGTAAACACTCTAGATAACCTACAAAAGAGAACACCTTTCCTCTGCATTTCTCCCAATTGGTGTATCCCTGTACACTTTTCCTCTGCATTTCTCCCAATTGGTGTATCCCTGTAGAGCTCACGGGGATGATTGTTACCATCTACTAATATCATGTCCTTTTTCTGAAGACCTTTGGGCTTGGCTACTGTCGTAGTTTGGGAGTAGTTGGAATCTACCAACAAAAGTCCGCATGATCTTTAACCATTCTATTTTCTCTTGGCCTACAAATAGAGGGAAACTTATGTGGAGATGTGCTCACACTGCCCTGATTTGGACTCTTTGGGAAGAAAGGAATGCTAGAATTTTTCAAGAAAAGGAAAAGAGCAGCCAGGAATTGAAAGATTGTGTGTTGCATAGGACAATACTTTGGCTGAAGACTTTGGAAATCTTTCATCAATTCTCTTTTAATGACCTTTAGAGAAACTGGTCAACAGTAGCAAGGTGTTCACCCTTAAAGGACAAGTTAATTACGAGTTGGTCTCCTCCATCTGAAGGCTCACTGAAGCTGAACTTTGATGGAAGTAGCATGGGTAATCCAGGATTATCCGGAATGAGGGGTGTATTGAGAAATGAGAAGGGAGAAATTGTGTTGCTCTACTCGGGTCCTTTAGGAGTCGGAGACTCTATCAGGGCAGAGCTACTAGCTATTGTACAAAGGGTGCAATTTGCAAACCAGCTGGGATAAATATGTTGGTCTCTTTACAGTGGATGGGGAGATCAGCAAATACTTAGTCCAATGTGTTATCCAAGCAAGGGGTAAATAGGGAAGAATTGTTTTGGGCTCAGCTATGATTCTTGTATTTCTTTCCTAGTTTACTTGTAAGATTCAAGGAGGGGCTGCAGCTCGCACCTCTCCCTAGGATGTTGTATGAATTCACAACTCTAAATCAGCTTTTGAATTAAT